TGAGCGTGAACTGAACGTACTGTATTACTGCCTGATGAACGTTACTGTGAACTCGTTCATTCTGGTGTCTGTGAACGGCAGCTCTCTCAGTTTAAAAATGAAAATTCTGTCAGTAATTACTCTCCCTCATATTGTTCAACCCCGTAAGACCTTCGTTCATCTTCGGAACACGAATTAAGATATTTTTTGATGAAATCCGGCTTGTATTTGAGACAGGCTTCTATATGAGACAGGCCTTTATAATTTAGTGTTGAGATGTTTTTCATTGAGATGTTGTTCCTAGAGTTTTTAATCTTTATAAATCTCCAAATGCTCCACGTGAAACTGCGGTCTTCCGACCTTTTACTATCGTGTCCATTGATTTTGTTTAATATGCGCGAGGGAGAGAGAGCAAGACAGCGCTGGTGTTGTTTGAAGACGTAAGGGCCCTTACATAGTCAACGCATTGGTACGCATTCGCGTGCGCAAGGCTACACATCGCTACGCTTCGGCCGCCATTATGCGTCGATGCGTAGCCAAATGTGTCATCCTAGTTTTTGAAACGAGAAGCGCCGATGCACGCAATACTATGCGTTGTCGGTGCGGGCGACATTGCAAGTAATGTACATAAAAAGGTAATTATTGTATTTTTTAAGATTTGAATACAATGGCGGGCGAAGAGGAACAGTTATGTGAGCTTGTTTTATTGCCACCGATGTAAAATCAGCAATATGCACTCCTCTTCAGTTGCCATTTTGATCTGAATATCACATGACCCGACTCTAGACTCTACTACCCCCTGTTGCGCGATCGGTGTATTGCATTTCACGCATCGCCGGTGACTCTTGCGTCTGCTTGTGTACTATGAAAAGCAGGGGCGTCGCACCCGTGGGGGATGTGGGTGTTTTAACACCCACACTTTTCCCGGTGAGAGGGTTCAACACCCGCTCTTTTTCTGCAGTTTTTCCGCAGTTTTGCACAAACGCCTCACTACAGTCGATCCTCCGTTTCTCTGGCCGCTCTGTGTGTGCGCTCGCTGCGGCTCGTCCTCCTCTCCCCCTCCCTCTCAAACATGACACCGGCTCTGAGTGTGACCGGCTGATGATTGGCTGTTCTGCCTTAAGTCCCGCCTCTCTTGGTGTGATTTTTCAGTCACTCGTGCTGAGGAGGCGGGAACTTATGGTTATGGTTATTTACATCTCCCTTTTCCAGGTACTTTGAATGAGTGTTTATGCTTGCGAGGTTTTTAAATAAGCTTGATATGTGTTTGGGATTGGGAAGATGTTATGTTTATGTTTTGTTGACATGTCGAGTGTTTTTGGTATTATATTTCGTTTTTTAGACTAAACAGCACAATACTTTATTTAAGTAGGCATTCTGTTTGTGCTGCGTGATTTAAAGAAAAGTGCGCACTTTGCTCACCCGATCAGCATGGTGATCTGGTGTTTTCTCCAAAATAAAACTCAAGGGTTTATTTCTTGCAAGTGAAGAAATTAGGACAAAAGTATTGTAATTTTCCTATTCTATAGCATAATATAAAATTTACTTTGAAATATTCATTTTCATTTCTACAGTAGCATACATTTATGGATTTTCCATCATAGGAATAATTATATAAATCATTATTATATTATTATAATAAATGTTTGGCATTCTAAAACACCAGTGATAATGTAATGTAGACTGAGACTCTATATCATAACTAAAAATAAGTTTGAACCCTCTTTAGGTACAAGTCAATGCTTTTTCTTTGTTCAATGTGCACAGTTCATGGGTCGAAGCCGGTTGAAGCTCTTAATTTTGAGCTCTCAGAGTGCACCAGATTGATGCATTTAACCTTAAAATGTACAAAATTTTCTTTCGGGGGAGCATGCCCCCGAACCCCCCTAGAGGGGCCGAGGTCCACACAACATAGTTTTACAAAATCCAATGAGAAAAAACGATCATTTATGAACTTTACCCCAGCATAATGTTAATGCCAAATTTAAATGTCCTTGGACAAACTACATTTGTCCTGCCTAAGGAGGGGCCAACATTACATTGTGCCCTCTGAATTCTTAATCAGGGCCCTGATCACATCCATCCCCCGCACTTTTAAAAAGCTTGCTACGCCCCTGATGAAAAGGACCGTGTAGCTCGCGTCGCTCGCGTTGACTTGCTCGCGTTGCTCGCGTTGACTATGTAACGGCAGAGTGCACGCGCGCGGCCGAGGCGCTCTCTCTCTCGCTCGCTCTCTCTCTCTCTCTCTCTCTCTCTCTCTCTCTCTCTCTCTCTCTCTCTCTCTCTCTCTCTCTCTCTCTCTCTCTCTCTCTCTCTCTCTCTCTCTCTCTCTCTCTCTCTCTCTCTCTCTCTCTGCTCGGTTGCGCCAGTCATTCTATTACATCACTCACCGATCAAAAAAGGCTTCGGCGGGACAAAAATTTGCTTTGGCGGCCGCCAAAAAGCGGATGATCCGATGGGTTTTAGAAGATCAAATACAACCCGAAACTAAAAAACAGACCCGGCCTCTATTTGATACCGGCCTTTATTTACCAAACCTGTCGCCACACCAGGCGTGTGAAAGAGACAGGCGTCTATTTGGGACTCGGCTATTATTTGAAGTTTTACGGTATTTAAAGGTTCTCTAAGCGATGTCGGGTGACGTCGAAGTGACGTTTAAAGTATTGTCAAACAAAACGGAGGCTAGCTAGACCCTCCCTCCTCCTCATCCGCGCACTAACCCCCCAAACCCCGCCCCCAAGTCCTTCTTGTCAGTGATTGGCTGGAACAGTTTGTTATGTTTTGGGGAGCGGGTAAGCCCAGTTTGTTTTTGTTGCTGTTTATGGAGCCTGGGCTGTCTACAGAGATCGTGTTTTTTTACAGTGTGTTCAGGGGACAGGCAGCCAGTGGTTAGTGAGAAGATGTTTGCTGTATGTGACAAAAAATGTTTTGGCCTAAAAAACGCGTGACATCGCTTAGAGCACCTTTAATAACTTTTCGGGAAACAAGTTTCAATCCCTTAGAAGCCTATGGAGGAGTGATCCAGCTCTCAAATTTCATCAAAAATATCTTAATTCGTGTTTCGAAGATGAACGAAGGTCTTACAGGGTTGAACAACAAGAGAGTGAGTAATTACTGACAGAATTTACATTTTTGGATGAAGTATCCCTTTAATATGTAGCGGAAAAAACAATCTGGCAACACCAGCATCAGTTTTATGACAAGGTCGGTGAGGATGGGACAAATCTTACATTTCTGTGCAAACTTTTCCCGGCGATAAAATAATTGCTGTCTTTGGTTCTATATGGGCTGTGGAAATAATTTTTAAAAATAATAGCTCGCAGCAACATATGGAAAAAAAGACCTATGAACTAGTTCAAAATTTTAAAGTATGAACTATGAACTGAACTAGTTCGTTTTAAAATGTGTGAACTGAACTTTAAACTAGTTAATGTAGAAAGTGAACTTTCCCAACACTCATGCCACAGCGTAACTTCTGTGTAGTGACTGGGTCCTTCTTGCAAGAATAAATACTTTCTCTTACGCAGTGATGATGGTTTGATAATGAATTTTCGCCACAACAAGTCAAAAGTGGTTATTTGTTTAATTTTGTACATACAGAAGGAATGGTTATAAAGTAATATTTACCTACTGATCTGAGACCAGTTTCCAGTGTGTTTGACTTCAGTATTGTGGTACATAAAGCTGTTGGAGTCAGGGGAGGCACAGCCTACACAAAATTTAATGTCTTACAATATGTATTTCTTGTTTGTAATTTCACCTCTGTAAGTGTAGGCTAACCAGAATGTGCCGAATCTGCGAAACGCGAGTCTGAAGGAACAGAGAAAGGGAAAGGGAAACAAATCCATAGCTGGAGACTTGTGCCTCCGTTGGTAAAAAAAAAAAAAAAAAGATTTAATCACCATTGAGTATTTCCAAAGCATTCTCATCCCAAGGCGTCATATACTGACGCTTTTGCCAAGGCGTCGACATCCGACGCACATGGCACCCTTTAGCGTCAATATAACACGCTTCGGTTATGGGTAGGTTTAGGTCTGGGGTAGTGTTAGGGTTAGACCACTAGGAGGCGCCATATACCTGCGTCTCATATTGACGCTAAAGGGTGCCATGTGCGTTGGATATAGACGCGTTGGCAAAAGCGGGATGAGAACGGGCTGGTTTCACTTTCAGAGATTAGGAGTTTTGAGAAAAGTCACATGGCTGGCATATCAGCCAATCATCGACAGGGCGTAAATTACGTGATATTAGTTTGAACCGCTACCGCTGATGTAATATGGAGATAGAGATATTGAATATTTGATCGCAAATAAATTTACTAAACTACCATTTAAACAACAGGTACAAATCAAAAATAAAGTAGCTTCACTAAACAACCGAACATGCGTTTAACACGGACATGTAAAAGGACAGGAGGAGGGATTTATTTGCTGCAAGTGATGATAGGCAGGGACTAGGTGAGGGAACTTATATTTATATTGTCTTCACTGCAAAAAATGCTTTTCTTACTTAGTATTTTTGTCTAGTTTGCAGTCCAAATATCAGACATTTCTTAAATCAAGATACATTTACTAAAGTACTAAATGACATAAGATATTAAGTCATGTTTTCTGGGGAAATTAATCAAAATTAAGTGAGTTGATGCTTAAAAAAAGGCAAAATTATCTGTCAATGGGGTAAGGAAAATAATCTTGTACCTTCTTACCCCATTGGCAGATAATTTTGATTTTTTTTTATGCATCAACTCACTTAATTTTGATTAATTCCCCTGGAAATCAGGACATAATATCTTAAGTCATTTTACTCATCTAGTAAATGCATCTTGATTTAAGAATTTTTAGATATTTGGCAAAAAAACTAAGTAAGAAAAGCATTTTTTGCAGTGTTGATGTCTATGTCGTTTTCTATAAATATTCATGTATATAATTGATCAAAAAAGCCATTTTAAAGTACTTAAACAATCCGAGCGCTAAACTTTGAGTGTGCCTCCTCTATTAAAGCCAGCAGCCACCACTGGTGTGAGTCCTGCATCACACACACTTGTTCATGCACATGAGCAGCTCCAGGCGGATGGCGATGCGTGTGTGCCAGCCCAGAGGAAGGATCCGCAGGAACCGGGTCACGATGGGCGGGCGCAGCAGGTTCTGGACCGTGGAGGACCGGTCCGTGTTCCCGTAGAACACCTGACGGAGGAACACAAGCAGAGAACAAGATTATTAAACTGAACAACACAACCTTGCAGATGTTTGTCATACTAAGCATTGTCAGTTGGATAGAGAGAAAGATTGATAGATGGATGGATAAGAAGGAAAGATGGATGGACAGATAGATGGAAAGATAGACAGACAGATAGATATATAAGATAGGTAGATGATGGATAGATAGATATAGATGGATAGATAGATAGATAGATAGATAGATAGATAGATAGATAAGTAGATGGATGGATAGATAGATGGATAGATAGATGGATAGATAGATAGATAGATAGATAGATAGATAGATAGATAGATAGATAGATAGATAGATAGACAGATAGATAGATGGATAGATGGATAGATAGACAGACAGACAGATAGATGGATGGATAGATAAGTAGATAGATAGATAGATAAGTAGATGGATAGATAGATAAGTAGATGGATAGATAGATAAGTAGATGGATAGATAGATAAGTAGATGGATAGATAGATAAGTAGATGGATAGATAGATAAGTAGATGGATAGATAGATAAGTAGATGGATAGATAGATAAGTAGATGGATAGATAGATAGATAAGTAGATGGATAGATAGATAGATAAGTAGATGGATAGATAGATAGATAAGTAGATGGATAGATAGATAAGTAGATGGATAGATACAGACAGACAGATAGATAGATTGACAGACAGATAGATAGAAGTAGATGGATAGATAGATAGATAAGTAGATGGATAGATAGATAGATAGATAGACAGATAGATAGATAGATAGATTGACAGATAGATAGATAGATAGATAGATTGACAGATAGATAGATAGATAGATAGATAGATAGATAGATAGATAGATAGATAGATAGATAGATAAGTAGATGGATGGATAGATAGATAGATAGATAGATAGATAGATAGATAGATAGATAGATAGATAGATAGATAGATAGATAGATTGACAGACAGATAGACAGACAGATAGATAGATAGATAGATAGATAGATAGATAGATAGATAGATAGATAGATAGATATTAAAGCTTGACAGTTACAGAAGTGAGTCTGTGAGTTTCTCTGTGAGTTTGAAGAAGAACTGTACGGCTGTATTCAGGCGTTACCCTGTTGTTCCCGGTCTGGTCTTTGTAGTAGACCCAGTTGAGGTGCTGGTGGGTCCGGTACTGCACGCTGTATTTGGTGGTCCACTCGTCCGCATCACAGCGCCCCTGGGTCATGATCCCGGACACCACCTGAGTGTCCTGCAGGTCGACCTGAAGCCACTGACTCGCGTCCTGGGCTTTAGACAGCCAGGCACAGCTGAGACCGAGAGGACACACACTTTACATGCTAGAGTCAAGAAACCTTCATTTATATTACACTTTTAACAATACAGACTGTTTCAAAGCAGCTTTACAGAGATTGTTTTGGCTTTACTGCAGTTCTAGAATAAAGTTATTGTCCAGCTAAAGTTAGTTTTGATTGATTCACCTTTTTTGTAAAGATCATTAGTTATTAACTTAGGGGCCGCTATTTAAAAAAATAGCACTCATATTCATGAATGAATGTGTATTCTATTATTAGCCAGCTAATTGCAAGTAAAGCTAATCGCTAATTAGCCATCATGCTAGGTAAACTTGCAAACTCACCTGGTTTATACTATTTTTAAATCAAATGCCAAATGAATGTTTTGATTTAGATAGTTTCACTCCTTATTTAGTGAGTAGTGAGCAAGTTTCTACATTGGTGTACTGATAGGTGAACTGAACAATGGTGTAATGATTCAGTTCACTCCCAAGACAAGACGATGCTCCCCGACTGGCCAATAGGAACGTGGCCCCGCCCATGACACAATTTTCACAGCGAAAGCAAAATCCTGAGAGCAAGGAATTGCATCGAGAGCAAAGAAAAGCGTTTTGAGAGAAACACTTTTTTTTTAGAGAAAAGGTTTTCACACTGATAGCAAACAATATATATTTTTGAAGTATTTTGAGACAGATTTTTTTCTCTCAAAAAAAAAAGAAAAAAAAAAAGACGTTCAATGAGAAAATACTTTTCTCTCAAAACTTTTTTTAGTCTCAAATATTATTGTTTTTTGCTATTGGTATGAACACTTTTTCTCTCAAATATTATTTTTTCTCTCATGAAATGCTTTTTTTTGCTATCAGTGTGATAACTTTTTCTCTCAAACTTTTTTTTTCTCTCAGATCATTTATTTTCTCGCATGTAACAAACACACTCGCTACTGGTTATTTTTGAGATTTTGGATGAGTGAGATTCGCCTGTTTTGTTATTGCCGTAGTATCCTAACCTTAACCCATGTAGTTACCTTATATTAACAGTGCTTTCTTAGGTACTGTAAGTGCACGTACTGTAAAATAAAGTGCAAGCGAATTGGGTTTTTCTGAGACACTCACCCAAACCCCTGACTGTTGAGTCTGGCTTTATTCGGGGTCCAGGAGGAGAACCAGCCGATGTACTGGTCCTGGTTTGAGCAGGTGAGCTGATCCGCCTTCACCGACCCGGCCTCGAATCCCAGCGGTGTGTGGTAGGGACACTCTGAGGAAAAGAGGAGCGGAAACGTCAGATCATCCTCAAAATCTCGAGAACATCATGCTGAATGTGATTTATATTCCACAAGCTCCATCCAGCTGTTCCTGGAAGTCAAACTGAGGTTTGGGTTTTGGTCCCTCGACAAAAACCCGATAGGATTTTTCACTGGTTTTTGGATTTTGTCAAAACTGAAATTTCCTGGCTGCAACAACAGCGGAAAGAGGAACCCCGAACTGGTATTTATGCCAAAAGAAAAGGATAGAAGAAATGTCTCATATTGTATCATGTTTCATCTTTCTGTGCACACACACCCGACCCGAAGCGTGCAGCCATAGACCTCTACAGCGCGCGAGTAATGAATTGAGTTCTGTTTCGTGTCTGAATGGACAATGCCGGTGATGCCGGTAACTTTTTTCAGTAACGAGTAATAACGCGTTACTATTTCCAAACCAGTAATCAGATTAAAATTACTGATCCAAATTACTGTGCGTTACTATTTTTGTCATTTTCTTTAGAAATAATGGTTGATAAGCGATATGAAAGAATCGCGGCACACTCTAACTCCCAGCGTTATCCTTCCCGTCCAGATCTAATGCTACCACATCTTTAAATTACTATTAGTAGGCTATTGTTTGAAGTTAAAATTATAAAATACGTAGACCTACACCACCAAACTAGTTGAGGATAATTTCTTTAAAATTGGGCAATTCCAGCGTTATGGACGTGACATTTGGTAAAAAACTTGAAATGTAAATTCTCAGAAAATGCATTTAATACCAATATATTGAAACGTCTGTTTATCCTCCTTAATAAAGGAGTCCAGGCTCCAGACATTAGAAAAATATCAGTCTACACGTGCGTTTTATATTGAGGGAAATACACGGACGTGACACAAAAAAACTTTAACTTTTAGGTGGCAAAAGTACAAAAAGTAATACCCACCGGATGAAGAAGGGCTGGCTCTCCACAGAACAAAATATTCATTTTGTCTTATTTTTCGTGTTCGCATTTATGAGGGAAAAACAATGTTATGAGACAGTTCCCCGTTACGGACGCGAGCGCTCTGAAAGCGGCACTGAAAGACTGCTTTAAAACTTTCCCAGAGACATCAAACATAAAGTACAAAGCCATTCATTAAGGCCAATTTCGTTTTGTATTAATTGTATCTTAATTTTAATCAATGTTTCATCAACCAATTGCCTGGATTTAATAAATAAGAAGTAAATATAGCAGACAATAGATTACGACACGGAGGCGCCGGCGCGTGAACTGGAGCTCGCCTTGTGAGTCATAAATGAACCGAAACACAGAGTAGGCCTACTTGCCTCACACACCTGAGAAATATATCTATAGAAAGCTCGAAATGTGTACTTTTACAGAACAATTCAAAACGAAAGAAAACAGACTGTTCTCTGAAAAGAATGAGATAGCCTTTGTGTTTTATTTAACATATAAGTTTACTTGGCTCAACAAGTGACACATTATTACATATGCATTCATCAGATATTTTACTCTTTTTTTTTACGGTTTTAATTTTAAAATGACTTGGTAGCAGAGGGCCCCATGATAATATTTTGATTGTACCCCCACTGTACCGGGAGTCTAGCTCCGCCCCTGTATATATATATATATCATGGAAGGCAAGTCTGGGGCAGATAATAAAGGACAAAAGAAAACTGGGGGTACAGTAACAAATAAGGATCGGAGCCTAAAATAAAAATTTTATCCATGTATCTCTGTCTTTCTCTTCAAAACCTTCAAACTTCATGCTGTTCAAAGTTATTTTAAGCTTTCAGACCTGGCTTTGTCAAGCCAACATCAAACTCCACTCATATAGCCTAGTTCTACTAGTCTTCGTCTCCTCCAGCCTGAATGAAGATCAGGATCCACTCGTGTTGGTTGGCACGAGTGGATCTCCAGCAGTTTGTGAGGGCGCAGGACTATTTCAGGCCCAGTAATCTGGGCATCATTCATTCGTCATGAGATTATCCGCTGGCACTCTCTACTCTCTCTCAAAGCCACTGCGTTCTCGTTCTGATGGTGTTTATGATGGTCAGCTCGTCGTCTCCTGCAGACCGTCCCTCTAGTTTTCTTACTCCTTGTCTTGTAATATTTTGATCGTAATGTTCGCTACTCTGTCAAACTGAGTTCAGAGGTCATCAGTTTCAGCTGAAGCATCACGGATGATCGTTACTCATGTAATCGCTCTAAAGCCTCTTGGCTTCGTGCCCTGTATCCGTTAAGGCCATTGCACACTGAGTCTGAAATTCACATCCGAACTTTTCGGACTCAGTGTGCAATGGCCTTTAGTGTGCACTTCTGAAGTTAGTCCCTTGGTTTGTCCAGTTATGGCGTTCCATTGTAAGTCACATTATTTTTTAGATGCCCATCAATGAATTTTTTGGGGAAAATGTGTTTCTGGCGTAGTTTATGCACGTTTTCTGATCGGATAAAAATTGTATCCAACTCAATCGAGCTCATACGTTTTTTTATTTTATGAACTAGAACTAGGGAATAGTGATAGTCTGCAATTATTTTACGGACTATATAATAGGTTATATTATTATTGTTATGAATGTTATTGTCAGTTTTAGTGTTGTTAATATAACTATTATTACTGCTGCTACTACTGCTATTGCCACTAATATTATTACTATTATTATTATTAGCATGTATTGTTACAAATTGTTTAAGATATCTATTAATCACTCAGTGATATTATATCTATATTTTTTTCCACAAAAAAAAATATAATCAAAAATGTTGTTATTTCACACTGGAATAACCTATTCATTAAACTTATTACTGTACCTGTATACACTATCTATACATCTATATATTTATATTATATTTTCCCCCCTTTACGTGTAGCTACTTGTCATTTGTCTATTGCTTTGTATATGCAACTATGTCTTGTTAATAAAAAAAGGATAGAGAGAATTTATATGCATCTCTGCATTTCCATCCAGCATTTTTTTATGCGGTATCCTAAAATGTGCATAAAAATAGGTGGATGGAAACTGAGCTCTTGAGCTCTATGTCAATAAACTGGACGTGTTGTACAGACAGATATAAACATTCAACATTAACTAACTTGCTCATCTATGATCTATTGATCTATGACGGCTGTATCTGATATAATGTCAGATGTTGAAAATGCATGCATATTTGCATGTGCATTTATGTATTTGCATGGAATGTAATTTTATAAATGTGTCCTGTGGTAGTGGTCAGAACCCTTGATTCTTAAAGGGATAGTTCACTTTGAAATTAATTTTTGGTATGTTTTAGCTTACCTCAAGGGCATCCAAGATGTAGGTGTCTTTGTTTCCGCGGTAGTTTCAATTTTGATATTTTTAGGTCAAACCGTTCTTGTCTGTCAGTCATATAATGCAGGTCTATGGTCACCACCTCAAAGAGCAGCACAGAGAAGTCCAAATTAAACATGATTTAATGACTCGTAAATGTAAGTACACATTGATGGCCTAAGACACGAAACGAGCGGTTTGTGTGAGAAAACGAACAGTATTTATATCGTTTTTACCTCTTGTAACCACAGCCACGTCCAAGTGATCTGAGGGCGCCGGCGCTTCGGTCTTTTCCGGAAAGCGCCGGAAGGGATCTCTCGCGCGTGTACGTCACTCATTGTTTACACAGAA